CTTTCTTGGTCAAGGGTGATGGTGCGAATTCTAAAAGCGAGAGGGTCATTGTGTAGCTTTGGGATCTATCAACTCGATTTCATCAATTTGAGATGGGTGATCATGGTTCAATCAAGCTAACTTTGCGAGAGAACTACACAGGTCACCATCGAAGATCAGCATGGTTCAATCGGGTGGATTCTCTAAGGTTCAATCCATCCTAAATCTAAAAGAATTTAGAGCAGATCGAGAATAAGAGACTAGGTTCACCATTGAAGGTCAGTGTGGTTCAATTGGGTAGATTGTCTTGGGTTCAATCCACTCCAAATCTTAATGGAACTTAGAACTTATCAAAGAATGAGGGATTGGGTTCAACTAGGGGCAGTGGGGGTAAATTGGGAGGAGTCAGGGATAAGCGTTTCACAACCCTAAACTATATTTTAATGCTATGAACCACGAGTGTCCAACACATCGTGTCAGTTTAGAGTGTAAATGAGCCATTTTCTATGTACTAATTAGTGTCCATTTCTTTATTCTTCACTAATCAATCTTATCTTATAACTTAAATCTTAAATCTTGAATATATATAAAATTACTATAATAACAATTTTTTCCCTAAATTCTCAAATAAATATACTATAGACTTTAAAAAAATTCATTAATAAAAATTCAATGAACTTTTAAAAACATATTCAATAAGGACTCATTGACTTTTTTGAAAAGATATTTTTAATTTATATCCTTAAAGTATAGGTTAAAAATGCAATTAATTCATTTTTTTGTCATTAAGTTACTTAAAAATAAGGTCTAACTTTAATTTTATCAATTGACTTATTAAAAACATATACATACACATAGCATTAGTTTTAAAACTAATGTCAATTTTTGTATTTTTGAATGATTTAATGGTTAAAAGTTGCATTGCATCTTTAACGGATAGGTTAAAAAAACCCTTTCAAAAAATATCTATTAAAGCTTAGTTTAAATTTGAGAGAGAGAGAGAGAGAGAGAGAGAGAGAGTAGCTTAAAATCTAACATAAGGGTGTGAAACCCGTTGATTAGGAAATTAATATAAAATAGGAAATTTATTTAATTTATAATTATAAAGTAAGGGTGTGGGATTAACAAATTAATTAGTGTAGATGTAATTTTTATGAAAAGTTGTCCTTAGTTTTCAAAATTAAAATGAATTTATACATTTAAATCTTCTTTTATATCTACCATTTAAACCTTTTTTTTTTTACGAATTATTACATTTAATATTAATAATTATCAAAAAGAATAATTTAATATCTTTTAGTTAATTATTAATACAAAAATTTATAATCAATAAACAATTAGCCAAATTCATTACAAATGAGTGTGCAACGCATACCTTGAAGAAGTCTAATATTTTAAAGTTTTAAAATTAACATTACTATAGTTATAATATCATATAAATTATAAATTTTTAACTAGAATATATTGTTAAATAAATAATATATATAATATCATAAATAGACTTTTAAATAAAAAAATTAACCATAAAAGACACATCATAATTATAAATTTAAAATATTATATGTAATATTGTAACTATATATATTTTTAGTTTTAAATTTTAACTTATTTTTTATAATTTCAAGAAGAAAAGTAGTATTGCCTGATCAAATAAGCTGAATGTACCTAATAATTGATCCCTAAACCCTGAACCTGAATCCCCACGTCCTGGCCTGGCGACCGAAACTCTTAGTTAAGCGGGGATCACCTCCCGTTAGTTTCACTTTTAAGCTCCACAGATGACACTTCCCCCTTCCCCAATTGCATGTTCAAAAAAAAAAAAAACCCTGAACCTGCTGCTTGCCAGTACCCAATATTAGTGTTTAGTACTAACAAATAAAAAGGAATGCAGGTTAAATTTCAATTTTGGTCACTTAACTTTGGACTTTTACATAATTTTAGTCTTTTAAGTTTTTTATGCACTTTTTTATCCTTAACTATAAAAAATATATTTTTTTAATCATTTCATTAATTAGTTTATTAAATATGCCCATATGTGCGCATTTTTATTCCTTAAACTTTTAAATTAAAAGAAAAAAATTATATAAAATTTTAAAGTTAAGGAACTAAAAATGTACATATATAAATAAATTTAACAAATTAACTAATAGAGTGAGTAAAAAAATATATTTTTCATAATTAAAGAACCAAAAAAATGTATAAAAAAGTCATGGAACCAAAATTAGATAAAAATTTAAAGTTAAGGGACCAAAAATGACATTTGACCAAGAATGTAAAATTTTCTGCATGAGAAAACATAAGGATTTACGGGTCCAAGTCAAAGAAGATGATAGCATGCGTTAAAGGTAAAAACCTACTTTGCCCTTCACCTTACTAAATTTTAAGGTTTTAACTTTTTATCTTATATTATTATTATAATACTTTTAATTTTTTATTTTACTAAATTTATTAATTTTAGTCCCTCATTTATTAAAATAAAAAAAAATAACCTTCATTGTATATTAATTGTTAATTTTATTAGTTAAAATTAGATTTTTATTAACTAACAATCAATTAATTATCAGTTAATAAAATTAATGAAATATTATAAAATTAATTCTGTTAATTCAGTTAACTAAAAGAAAGTTTTTGTCAATTAACAATCAGTTAATAGAGTTAACAGTCAGTTAATAGAACTAACTAAATATTACAAAATGATGATTATTTTCTTCAATTTTAATAAATAAAGAATTAAAATCTACAAATTTAATAAGGTAAAGATTAAAAATGTAATAGTATAAGATAAAGGACTAACATTTTTAAACTTGATAACGTGTGAAAGGTAAAAGTAAGATTTTACCTACGATAGAATACGGTGAAATGAACAGAAAATGGTAGCAAGAGCAGAATTTCAGAAGCAGAAACAACGCACAATCCGGAAGGAGAAGATGGACATGACTAACTCATCCGTAACCAACGACGAACCCCCACCCTGACCTCCACCCACGCGTCGCTCCGTTGATCCCAGCTGGACCAGGCCCCCCCTCATCGGATCACGTGTTCCTACAACTTTCATCAGCCGCACGGGCTGTCAACCCACCAAAAAAGGGAATCTCTCTTTCAGTTTATTACACTCCGCCCACTCCTTTTATCTCTTCTTCTGTTTCTCGTTTCCCTCTCCTCCTCAGCAGCTAGCGCAATTATCGTCTAATTTTCAGACTTTTGTTTCCTATTCCCATCTGTGTTTCTCTATCTTCAGTTTTTTTCCTTTTTTTTTTCCTTTCTTTTTTTTTTTTTTGAAATTCAGATGTATTTTGGATTCTAGTAATGCCTATTTTTGTTTCAGTAGTGAGGGAAAGATCGTTGCATGCTTTTCCACGGCTTTCTTGAACTTAATTTGCTACATTTCCAGTGCTTTCCAAGTAGTTAGATACAACCTTTTTCTTTTCTTAATTTGAATTCCTTATAAGGAGTAGCTAGTATGCTTTTGAAGAAAAGGAAGAAAGGGAAGCTCGGAAATTTGAGTATGAAGCTCAAGAAAGCCATGGGAAAACATGAAAGGATTTTCTTATATGACAGTCTGGATCCTATCCTTGCGAGCTCACCTCACCTCATCTTCAAGACTGCTCAAGGTGTAGATAAGGTAACAGTTTTTGTTTGGATTCCTTGTAAGGAGTATATGGGCCCTTTTTTTTTTTTTTGGCAAAATCTTAACACCCTGAATATTTTTCATTCCGTGATAAACCTTACAAAATTTCTCCTCGTACGTCAACACCCTAATGTTTGCAAACCGGAGAAAATAGCACCGAAACCGTTAAGTCTCCGTTAGAAGGAATCGAACAATTTACGACGCCAGTTCTCAAAGATAAATAAAAGGGCAATATTAGATATTTATAATCAAATTAAATAATTAGCTCAATTTAAAAAAGGACTTTTAGAAGAAATCAAAGAAAATTTCTTGACATAATTGAGACAAAAAATCCAAGAAAAAAAAAACTCAAAGGATGGAATAGAATTATATAAATTTAGAGAAAAAAAAATTAGAAAACTAAGAGAAGTCTTTAATTTACTCCACTCAACATGAATAATGATCAAATAAATTAGATTAAATTGCATTTACTTATTACATTGGGTAAAAAACAAGATTAGTATAGAAAAAATAAAGATTGATAGGATTTTAGAAATAAAAACTATTAATAAAAGTTCTTAAAAAATATAAAAGAAATGGAGAAAACCCTTTCACAAGATCAATTTAATCTTATTAAAGAAAGAATAGAAAATGTAAAGAATTCTAGATATCTTAATGACGTAAAGGAAGTTATCCAAGCTATAAGAGATTTAGAAACTTTATAATCTTGAATCAAAAACTATAAATTAAAATAGAAGAAATCTTCACAATATTAAAAGCAATTGCAAGAAAAATTTGCAATAAAAACTTTAAAATGTATAATAAAATACTTCCACAATTTGAGAGCGATATAGGCTGTCATAATTCAATTTTAATTAGGAATTGAATAATAAAAGCCAATGGACAATTCTGTGAAAAAAAGAAAACTTGAAGAGCTGAGAGGAGGAAATGGCAAAACAACGTTGTTTTGCCAATGGGCTAAAAATAAAAAAAGAGGTTGGGTTTGGACGAACCCTAGCCATCATTTTCACGATTCCTCTTGTTTCCTCTTCCTTTAATGTTAGCCACTCTCTCAAAATTTCCAAATTCTTTTGGTTTATTGCTAAATCTACTTGGGTTTGGATAGATTACTACATCAATATGAAGAAATATTCAGATTAGAAGTCTTCAACAAGAAATACAAAAGAAGATTTCGAAGTAGATTCAAATTAGGAGTCCTGATCTTTAAGAAGTATGAATCTAGCCTTGAAAGAAGGAAGATGTGAAAAGAACTAGGTTAGTTTTAAAATTCCAATTTCAAATAGAACTAGATTATTATTTGTAATTTTAGAGATTTGGATTAGGATTTAGAATTAGAAAAGGATTTGAGTTCTCTTCTTTTCTATATAAAAGGGGGCCTTTGGCTTTAGAAAGGATATTCAAAAAAATTTGAGGGAGAAAGAGAGAAGAAATTCCAAAGGTTGGGAGATTGAGAGGGAGAAAAAGAGCAGAAATTTGGGGGAAAAAAAGTGCAGAAAACTGAGGAGGAAATTGAGGGAAAAGTGGGTAGTCGTTGAAAGAGAAGAAGGGGAAATACAGAAACTTGTATCTGGAATTTCAAAAAAATAAAGTCTGATTTTTCCTATTTTCTTCAGGTGTGCATTGTTCATAGTTTTTTTAACGCTGCACCTTTTTTTTTTTTTCTTTTCATGTCAACATTCCCAGTTTTTTTGGCATAGACTACTTTTTTTTTTTTTTATGGTTCAGAATCCCTCTTTTTTTTTTAAACTTCATTGGTAGGCACAATAAATTTTTATTTTTAGCATAATTTTCTTTAAATTCTACTGCTCAGATCTTGTGATTTTTGAAAAGTCCTATGCACTGTTATCGCACACTGTAAACTAGTGAAGATTGTTCCATTAATTTCTTTTTTCAAAACTGGCTGAATGCACACTTTTATTTTGGGCCTCCTTTCCTGCATAGCCCGGCATCATTGGACTAAAAACATTTACATATGGGTCAACATGTAAGAGAAGGTGTCAACACTCTGCACATGCACATGAAATTCTCCGTGTCGGGTTTGCTTCAAGATTGTTGAAAAAATTTTTTTTTTTGGCAAAACTGCAATCTGATCCTTGAACCTTTTTTTTTGTCTGCTGTCCTCTAACTTTCTATAATTTTGTGATTTAGTCACCTAATTTGTGATTTAGTCACCTAATTTGTGATTTCCCCCAATCAAGTCCCTTCCATAAACAACAAACGGAACAACATTTTTTTTTTATTAGACTCAACAAGTCTTGACCCCAACATTCATGCTGCATGCACTACTTTGTCTTTTCTTTGTGTAGATCTCAATTGCACTCTTGCTTGATTTATTTGTTACAACTTTTGCACATTTATTGTGGTACTTGAATTTCTTGTTATGCATCTATCACGTACCATCCAAGTAAGCATCTATTTTACAATGCCCATTATTATTTAATTCATGAACTTAATGTGAATAATTTGGCCTTTTGTGTATGACTTTGTTTAGATATGGCTCTAAATCAAAGACTACTTCTGAGATGATTTTCGCTGCTACGATGTTGAAAGGTGATTGGATTGCTGATTCTTCAGACCTTGAATAGGTTGGGCAGTTCTTACACTTCTCGTCAACTCACATACAGTCTTCTTCTTTGTTAGAGACCAAAGAGCTTCAACTTATGGTGCTTGAGTCAACCAATGGTCCTTATGCCATCAAAGGACTTTCCCACCTACCCACATTGGAGATGCCCAAGCTTTGTGAGTATGTGACCTCGAAAGGAGAAGCTTCATCAACTCCAAGCAACACTGGATCTCTCCCTTGCTTCCCTCCAATCATGTGGCCAAACATGCAACACTAACAATGGTCATAACAGTTGATTGGTTGAGGAGTGAGCAAATGGTGTCAATCCATTGATCATTTGGGAAAGGAAACATTCCTAAGTGGCTTTTGGGTTGGTCAAACTACACAATGAAGATGTGAAGTCATCACAAGATGGGAGCTCTAGTAAACGCAGTGTCATTAGCCAATAATGACTAATGTTGTCCTTCGAGCATGCTTCGTGCCCTCATTAAGGTATGGTCTCCAAGCACTAATACCTTTTTAACTTCTGTAGGAGAGGTTGGAAATTCTCTCCTAGAGATGCGAGGCATTTTTGGCTTGTCAATTCAAGGAGCATACTACGAAGAGGTGGTTCTAAGCTACAAAGAGCTTACAGAGGATTTACCACCTTACTGTTTGCTTTTGTTTAAAGCCTTTGTCATGATAGAGAATTATGATCGTGTAACATATGCTGATTAGCTTGATTTTTTGGTACAATTGCAATCCACCATATGCCAATCCACTCAAGAGCTAACGATATCCAGATATGTCCGAGTTGAAGTATGATGGCGATGGGAATGTGATTTCAATTCCTAAACTTGACCGCCCATTGAAGTGGACATTTGGACATGTGAGAAAACTAGGGGGTGTACCAGAACAATGGGATCGACTTGGCATGTTAGATGTTGCTTTGGAGGTAAATGATAGAGAAAAACTTTTAATTATTGTTTATCTTTGTGTTTGGCTTGGCAGATTTGTTTTTCCAGATGGAGAAGAATTTGTCAAAGTTGGAACTTTCAAAGCCACAACTCAAATGGCAATCGGTGTTACCTACAGCTTGGTTCCTCCTATCTTGGCATGCATTTATCGTGGACTTCGACAACTGACAAAAGTGCTTGAAGGATCATGGGTACATGCAATCGAAAGCCCTACTTTTCTTGGACATTATTTATATGCATGTATTGGTTTTACATTTCCCCCACAACACTTTTGCAGCCAGATATGAAGCTTCTTTACCTATGGTTCAACAATTTTGTGGGGTTTTGAATGCATACCATCCATGGGAACCAGAAGTAGCAGATTGTCGTATAGTTTTACGAAGCAATCTATCCTCCAACAACTTTTGTTGGACTTTAGTGCCTCTACAAACCCACCCCAGACCTTGAGTTAAAGATGGGTAACAACAGGCTAACATTTTGGATTTCATGATGAGCATCAGAGCAGGTTATGTGGTGCTCCGCCAAGAAGGTAGCTTCACTAAAAAGTCTTACAATCTTCATCGATTTGCTAGACAGCATGGATTTCAGCAAAGGCTTCCAAGAAGGCATGTGAAATTGCCTCATGGTTGTGAAGTGTCAAATCTTTACCACCTTTGGTTATCTTTAATTCAAGTGCATAGTAACACATTTCTTCATATCCCCTCAGTTGAAGGCGAAGTAGCATCTAGGGTTGACCCAGCCTATTTGAAGTGGTGGAATGAAGAAGCTTTTCCTTCAATTTCTACAGTTTGCATCTAATTCTTAAAGGCTAGTGAGGCTAGAAATTTCATCTCATCCCTAATGAAGAACACTATGATTAGACCTCAAGGGAAAGGGAAACAGCTTCAGGCACTATTGTCTCCCTTGTAGAAGCAAAGTAATGCCAGCGACCTTAGTCCATCTTCAAAGAAGTAGACATGCAATAGAAGTCCCCAAAGAGTACCAAACTTTTTGTAACAATCACCTTCCATGCCTACTGAACCCCAAAGCACTAGTTAAGCTTTGTATGAAGGTAAGCACATTTCCTCACCTTTTAAAGAAATATCCTTTTTTATCTTAAAATTTTCTTTTTACTGACTTGATTTTTTTTTTTTTTTTGAGAAATATTTGGCTCACTAGAATTAAGAGTACTATTAAGAGACACAGAGATGATTTGTGCTTTGGATGATTTTCTTGAGATAGACACTCTTGAGAAACTTGGATCACTTCCAAGCCAAACTAATGGAGGAGTTCTATCCTTGAATGTTGGTGAGCAAGTAATTGTTGAAGATGGGGAAGTTGACTTTCATGATAGATGGCCAAGTATGAAAGAAACCATTGTACTTAGTTCTCCTGCCATGGCATCATCTAATTCAACAAAACTTAAGCCTACATTCTCTTACATCACAAAGCCTTTGGAGCCAATTAGCTCTCAAGCACTGGTGAAGCCCATCCTTCTTAAAGCTATGAGCAATCGTGCATAAGAGGTTTCACAAGGCTTGCAAAATGGCTTTTTTGGGCTTGGATAGTGACGGGCAAAGCGATCTTCTATGATCTTAGAAGCCCTCCAGCTCTATTTTCACATGGATGATGACCATTTACTCAAGATGATGGATGCTTACCTATCCAAGGTAAATCTTTACTTAGCAAAACAGGATGAAGTCTCTACCAGCTCGGATGTTGAAGAAAGAGATAAATCTCTTGCTATCTTATGAAAGGAGATCATCAAATCAGATCGTCCATCACTCTCTTTCAAAGGAAATCAATGAACTCACTGAGAAGAAAGGATCCCTAAAGACTAAGATTGAAAGCTTGAAGAATGAGCTAGATTCAGTTAAGTAGCAACATAATGATGTAACTTTCACACTTTATTTGCTCCTTGATAGAAGGCAAATGACAGAAGAACAATTCTAGTCCAACCAGGAAAAATTGATAAAGTTAGAAAACTCCAAAGTTGTAGCCATTGAGACAGTTGCTGAAGTGGAGAGAATGCGACAAGACCTTGAAACTGAGTTTGAAGCCATAACAAATGGGGCTTGGGTTGAAAACAACATGTGATGTTGTTCATTTTGTATTCTTTCTTTTTTATTAGACTTTGAACATTCCTTTTCAAAGACTTGTTGAATTTTTGCTCTAGCCACTTTGTGAATAAATAAGATGCATTTTCTTCACTTTTGTTGTTCTCTTTGCTTTGCTTTGTTTGCTTGACATAGACATTTCTCCCTTTGTTGGAATACTTGAAATGAAATGAACCATAATTAAAAGCAAACTTAAATTTATTTTAAGAATTTGGCTAAACTTGGAAAAAACACTAAACTACCTACGTACCCTTTTTTGGGGATCAAGTCAAATGTAGTTCAAAGTTGCTTTTCTTTTTATTTTTTAGCCGTTCACAATTTATACTCTTACGGGCTAGGGGTATTACATTCTTTTTTCTTCAGGAACTTTCCATTAATGGGACCAATCTGATGACCATCTCTGTCAACAATCCTGTTGGCACCACTGTTGTGAACTTCTGTCACGACATAAGGATCATCCCATTTTGAAGTAAACTTGCTCCCTAAATGACGAGTGATGACAATTGACCTTCGAACAACTAACACCACATCTCCAACTTGAAAATGCCCTTAGTCAAACCTTTTTGTTGAATGCCTTGGACAATCTAGCTTGATAACATTCCAAGTGTTGTTGAGTTTCCAACCTTCTCTCATCTAACACTTCCAATTCTTATAAGCAAAGCTTGGAATTCTATTCATCAGTAAGACCTTCTAGAATGGCAATCCTAAGAGATGGAATTTAGCATTCCAAAGGGAGAACAGGCTCAACTCTATACACAAGGGAATAAGGAGTTGCTTTTGTTGGAGTACGGTGAGTCATTCAATATGTCCAAAATGCTTCACCAATTCTTTCATTCCAATCCCATTTTGACTTTGAAACAACCTTCTTAAGGAGATTGCAAAGGGTCTTATTAAAAGCTTCCACTAGTCCATTCGCATCGGCATTGTACATGGAGGAATAATGCTTGGCAAACTTGAAACTTGTACACAACTTGTCCATTAGACTATTGCTAAAAGGCTTGCCATTATTTGTAATTATGTACCTTGGAACACCATACCAGTATATGATATTGACTCGAATGAAGTCAACAACATTTTTCTTTTTAACTTCTCTCCAAGGTACAACTTTCGCCCATTTGGAGAAATAATCAGTTGCTGCCAAGATATATGCATTCCCAACTGAGGATTTTGGCATTATGGGCCCAATCACATCTAAACCCCAAGCATCAAAGGGTCATGATGCAATTGTTGGATGTAAAGGCTTCGGTGGCTGATGGATAAAGTTTGCATGAAATTGACATGCTTCACATTTCTTCACATATTCCATACAATCCTTTACCTTTGTTGGCCAATAGGATTCTATTATTCTTATTTGGTAGTGAAGTTTTGGGCCAGACTAATGAGCTCCACAAATTCCAAAATGCACCTCCTCAATCACTTGGGATGATTCCTCTCCATCCAAACATCTAAGGAGAACTCCATCAAAAGATTGCCAATAGAGGGTGTTAGAAAAGTAAACAAAACGTAGAGCCTTCCTCCAATGAAAAAGACTAAAACAACATTACTTTCTACATCTTCAGATGTTAGTTGAGGTGAAATCCACCATTAGGACACAGAAACAGTGACTTCTTGATTATCGGGACTTGCAATGATAGCAGCTAAATTAGCCAAAGCATTTGCTTGCCTATTTTGACTTCTAGGAACGTGGGCAATTAAGACATGATCAAATTTCTTGAGGAGTTGAGAGGCATATTGAAAGTATGGGACAAGATCTGGTTTTCGAACATTAAACTCCTTTATGAGTTGATTCACTACCAAGCTTGAGTCCCCATAAACATTGAGTTGGTAAATGTTCATTTCAAGAGCCATCTCCATGCCCACAATTATTGGAACATTGTTCTCTTAAAGTAAAAGAGAATGGTATTACTTCATTACTTCATTTTTTAACGTTAAAAACTCCACACTAGCCCCAGCACCATCTCTTCTTGATGCTCCATCGAAGTAGAGATTCCATGATGGCAATAAATCTACAAAGAACATTTCCTCATCTGGAAAACCCTGTAACAACTCCCATTTGGCTGGAATTGGATGATCTATAAGAAAATCAGCTAAGGCTTGTCCTTTTATCGCCTTTTGTGGCACATAAATTATTTCAAATTCAGACAATAACAGTGCCCACTTTTCTAATCTACCAAAAAGCACTAGTTTTGACATGATGTATTTTAAAGGG